TTCTTTGTACCTACGTTTTGGCTTTGGGGCTTTTCATCTTACCTTTAACTTTTGTTTTCTTCTATTATGTTTTCTGCACTTTTATTTTCAGTGCATTTGTCTCCCACTTGCTTAACATTGTTGGTTTTGTGGTCAGTTAAGATGGAGATGGACGAGGCAGGCCCCTAGTGACTTCTCCTGGTTTTTTGTTGTCTCCTTGTATACTTGTGGACTGAACTCAGGTTTGTGGAGACTCTTTACATTTCTAGTGTCCCTGTGCTTCATTCAGTATAGTTTTATTACCTCCCTTTAATGGTCAACTTAGTTGTGGGTTTGGGTATTGGTTTGTCTACCTTTTATTCTGCCTACTCTTACGTGCGACTCTGGATTTTTCGAATTTGGTTACCTTTTTCTTTTTCTTTTTTTTTTTTTTTTTTTTTTTTTATTCTTATTATTTTTTGTTTTTTTTTTTTTTCTTTTGTTTTTTTTTTTTTTTTTCTTTCTTCTTTTTTTTTTTTTTCTCTTTTTTTTGTTTTTTTCTTCTTTTTTTTTTTTTTTTTTTTTTTTAACATTTTATTTTTTTTTTTTTCTTTTTTTTTTTTTGCATTTGTTTGCTAATGTAATCTTCTCTGATTTGACGTTTCTTTCATGTATGACATTTGATTCTACAAGGTCAGAGGTCAAGTTTTCTAAAACTCTTATTTGTGAACAAGGATTTTGACATTGGTGCATGCAGGTGCAGCTACTATGAAGCTGAGGGGTAGTACTGGCGGCCACCAGTATTTTACAGGTTTATTTGGAGTTGACACAGGAAGGTTTAGATGTGCTTTGTTTCTCTTTCAGATCAACCAGAGCATGTTAAAACTCACTGTGAGCACCACAGAGACAGTGTAAAGACCACCAGTGCTGATGGATATCCTATAGTTGGAGCCTATGTACCACAGTGTGATGCAGAAGGACAGTATCTATCTCAGCAGGTGAAACTGTGACTTTTAATATATTAAGTGAATAACTACAGTTTCTTCTGCCACTGTTCCTCCCTACTTTCATGTCTGAAAACTCTTCACTGTTTATCAAATAAAGTTCAAAATGCCCCAAAATGGAATGTATTTCTCATCTTTATTTCAGTGCCATGGCTCCACTGGCTATTGTTGGTGTGTGGACAGTAGAGGAGAGGAGAGAGCAGGAACCAGGACTCCACCTGGTGCAGCACCTGTAGACTGTGACAGACCAGGTGAGACTGTTTCCTTCCAAAGACAGGATGTATGTAATCAGTTCCATTGGTTTGGTTGTCTCTCTGTTTGTTTGTTAGCAATCTGGCGTCCACTGTTGCAAATATATAGTTTTGGATTGGCCTTTGTCTATGATTTGTGATGGCAGACCCCAATAACAGCTTGAGCTAATTTCATTTTAGTGACAATCAGTTCAGGTCACACCAAATGTGAACATGTAGTTAATACATTTTTATTTTCCCTCACTCAGGTTTTATCAGATTACATTCATATTTTAATAACAATATATATTTCTGTGTGGTCTTTGTGGTGGGTGACTTGGAGTACCTTGCTTGTGAGTGTGGGAAGTTTTTGGCTTTAACCAATTTGATCTTCTTTACTTTTCATTTGGTTAACACTCAAGGTCAAAGCTTAAAAACCAGACTGACGTCAGCATGTTGTAATGAAATGTAATTATTAATCATTTTGCTACACATTCTTGTATAATGATGATAAAGTTTTGTATCATAAAAACATAATATCACTATTTTTGTATAGCCTTTGCCCTTGAGGAGCAGTGGTCCTCTTTGGATGCTGTTGGTATTCTAGTGGCCCGTACTTCATTCAGATTGTTTTACACAGGTTTATTTGCTGTTGACACAGAGAGATTTAGATCAGTGTTTAAATATTCTCTTTCAGATGAGCGTCTCAAAACTCACTGTGAGCACTACAGAGACAGCGTGAAGGCCACCAGTCCAGATGGAAATCCTATAACTGGAGTCTATGTACCACAGTGTGATGCAGAAGGACAGTATCTACCTCAGCAGGTGAACTGTAACTTTTTATAAATTACGTTTTTATATATATTTATACTTTTAATTTATTTAGTGAATAACTACAGTTTCTCTTTGACTTTTGTCTATAATTTCTTTTTGTTCTTCCTAACAAATCATTTGTTGGTGGCAGTTTAGCTCTCCTGGTTGAGCAGGCAAATGTAAACTACAGGGCTCAATGCAGCGGCCTGTGTTTGATTCTGTCCCAGCTGCTTTTGCTGCCTTTCCTGTCTGAAAACACTTAATTGCTTATCAAATGAAGGTCAAAATGCCCCCAAAATAATGTATTTCTCATCTTTATTTCAGTGCCATGGCTCCACTGGCTATTGTTGGTGTGTGGACAGTAGAGGAGAGGAGAGAGCAGGAACCAGGACTCCACCTGGTGCAGCACCTGTAGACTGTGACAGACCAGGTGAGACTCTTATTCTAGTGTCCTGTACTTCATTCAGATTAGTTTTATTACCCCTCAGCCCTAAAAAGTTGTGGGGTATTGTTGTCACCCTGCAATAACTCGAGAATAAGGCGACATGGGATTTTCAGATTGGTACCGCAGGTGTATCTAATAAAAATCTCAGATGAGTTCAAATCTCAGTGACCTTGACCTAAAGGTCAGAGGTCAAGTTTTCTAAAACTCTTATTTGTGAACAAGGATTTTGACATTGGTGCATGCAGGTGCAGCTACTATGAAGCTGAGGGGTAGTACTGGCGGCCACCAGTATTTTACAGGTTTATTTGGAGTTGACACAGGAAGGTTTAGATGTGCTTTGTTTCTCTTTCAGATCAACCAGAGCATGTTAAAACTCACTGTGAGCACCACAGAGACAGTGTAAAGACCACCAGTGCTGATGGATATCCTATAGTTGGAGCCTATGTACCACAGTGTGATGCAGAAGGACAGTATCTATCTCAGCAGGTGAAACTGTGACTTTTAATATATTAAGTGAATAACTACAGTTTCTTCTGCCACTGTTCCTCCCTACTTTCATGTCTGAAAACTCTTCACTGTTTATCAAATAAAGTTCAAAATGCCCCAAAATGGAATGTATTTCTCATCTTTATTTCAGTGCCATGGCTCCACTGGCTATTGTTGGTGTGTGGACAGTAGAGGAGAGGAGAGAGCAGGAACCAGGACTCCACCTGGTGCAGCACCTGTAGACTGTGACAGACCAGGTGAGACTCTTCTTCATTCAGATTGTTTTACGCAGGTTGATTTCATGTTGACACAGCACAGCTTATATGTGATTATTTTTATTTTTGCCTTCAGGTCTACCGGAGCGTGCTAAAACTCACTGTGAGCACCACAGAGACCACGTAAAGACCACCAGTGCTGATGGATATCCTATAACTGGAGTCTACAAACCACAGTGTGATGCAGAAGGACAGTATCTACCTCAGCAGGTGAAACTCTGACTTTTTATTTATTTAGTGAATAACTACAGTTTTTTCTTTGGTTTTTATCAGTGATTTCTTTTTGTTCTTCTTAAGACTCTTTTTATTGGTGTTAGTTTAGCTCACGTGGTTGAGCAGGCAACTTTATGCTGAAAAGCTCAACACAGCAGTCTATGTTCGACTCTCACTCAGGGAGATTTACTGCGTGGTTTCCACCACTCTTCCTCCCTTCTTTCATGTCTGAAAACTCTTCACTGTTTATCAAATAAAGGTCAGGATTCCCCAAAATGGAATGTATTTCTCATCTTTATTTCAGTGCCATGGCTCCACTGGCTATTCCTGGTTCCTGCTCTCTCCTCTCCTCTACTGTCCACACACCAACAATAGCCAGTGGAGCCATGGCACTGAAATAAAGATGAGAAATACATTATTTTGGGGGCATTTTGACCTTCATTTGATAAGCAATTAAGTGTTTTCAGACAGGAAAGACAGCAAAAGCAGCTGGGACAGAATCAAACACAGGCCGCTGCATTGAGCCCTGTAGTTTACATTTGCCTGCTCAACCAGGAGAGCTAAACTGCCACCAACAAATGATTTGTTAGGAAGAACAAAAAGAAATTATAGACAAAAGTCAAAGAGAAACTGTAGTTATTCACTAAATAAATTAAAAGTATAAATATATATAAAAACGTAATTTATAAAAAGTTACAGTTCACCTGCTGAGGTAGATACTGTCCTTCTGCATCACACTGTGGTACATAGACTCCAGTTATAGGATTTCCATCTGGACTGGTGGCCTTCACGCTGTCTCTGTAGTGCTCACAGTGAGTTTTGAGACGCTCATCTGAAAGAGAATATTTAAACACTGATCTAAATCTCTCTGTGTCAACAGCAAATAAACCTGTGTAAAACAATCTGAATGAAGTACGGGCCACTAGAATACCAACAGCATCCAAAGAGGACCACTGCTCCTCAAGGGCAAAGGCTATACAAAAATAGTGATATTATGTTTTTATGATACAAAACTTTATCATCATTATACAAGAATGTGTAGCAAAATGATTAATAATTACATTTCATTACAACATGCTGACGTCAGTCTGGTTTTTAAGCTTTGACCTTGAGTGTTAACAATGAAAGTAAAAGTCAATTGGTTAGCCAACTTCGGTACTCATGTCCCCCAAGACCCTGTATATTGTTATGAAGTTTGAATGTAATCTGTATAAACTGGTGAGGAACATAAAATGTTTACTACTTTTCACATTTGGTGTGACCTGAACTGATTGTCACTAAAATGAAATTAGCTCAAGCTGTTATTGGGGTCTGCCATCACAAATCATAGACAAAGGCCAATCCAAAACTATATATTTGCAACAGTGGACGCCAGATTGCTAACAAACAAACAGAGAGACAACCAAACCAATGGAACTGATTACATACATCCTGTCTTTGGAAGGAAACAGTCTCACCTGGTCTGTCACAGTCTACAGGTGCTGCACCAGGTGGAGTCCTGGTTCCTGCTCTCTCCTCTCCTCTACTGTCCACACACCAAC